CTGCTGGTGGGAGTGCCAACTGTGGGGACACCAGACCTTGAGCAGAAACCCACTTCCCCTTCAGCCTGGGAGCAGGCATCTATGTAATGTTTACTGAAAACAATTCAGTGCTTTAAAGCTCTTGATAGGGCTCAGATAAGGGCTCGCTCACTGAGATACCATGACTTTCACACGCCCTACGGCTAGATGCCTCTTCCTGTCCCCGCCCCCTGAGGTGTCTCCCTGATTCTGGGGCCAGAGATTAAACCACCAGCCAGGAGGGTGAGAAGTGAAAAGAATGGTATGTAAATGGATGGCAAAAGTCCTTAAAAAGGGAAGCTCTTTTTTCTTGGAGAGACTTCTCCTGAGACCTCTCTCTCCTAAGCGGATTTGGAATCTCCTCCTAAGCTGACTTGGGAAGCATAAGGTTTTCTTAAAGCAACCGACCGGTCTCTGTGTCATCTATCCCGACCACCTCGCTACATTCTCGGATGCAGGCCGCACAGCAGGTGTGACACCAACTTGTACAGCCACTTTGGAAATCAGTATGGAGATTCTTCAGGAAAATGGGAATCAATCTACCACAAGATTCAGCAATTCCACTCTTGGGCATATACCCAAAAGATGTATATTCACACAATAAGGACATCTGCTCAACTATGTTCATAGCAGTATTATTTGTAATATCCAGATCTTGGAAGCAATCTAGATGCCCCACAACTGAAGAGTGGATAGAGAAAATGTTGTACATCTGCACAATGGAGTACTACTCAGCAGAAAAATATTCAACCTTGAAATTTGCAGGCAAAAGGAGGGAACTAGAAGAAACCATCCCGAGTGAGGGAACCCAGTCACAAAAAGACAAACATGGTATGTAGTCACTCATATATAGATTTTAGACATGGAGCAGGGGATTGTCAGCCTATAATCCCACCTCCAGAGAGTCTGGGAAACAGGGAGAACCCTAAGAGAGATATGCATGATGACCAGGAGAAGGGGAATGGACTAGATCTCCTGAAGGGACTGGGAACATATGGGGAGGGGAAGGGAAAGGAAGGGAGATGGGAGAAAGGGAGGGGGAAAAAAGGAGGGGAGAAGAGGACACGGGGGAGCAGGAAGGTTGAGTCAGGGGAAGAATAGAGGAGAACAGGATGGGAGATATCATAATAGAGGAAGCCATTATAAATTCAAGGAGAGATATGGCACTAGTGGGTATTTTAGAGATATACAAGAATAACACCAACTGGCATTAAGGTTACCTTAAATGCTTTCCCCTGATAATGAAATTGATGACTGCCTTATATGCCATCCTAGAACACTCATCCAGTGGCTGATGGAAGCAGAAGCAGACACCCACAGCTAAAAACAGAACTGAACTCCTGGAACCCAATTGCAAAGAGGAGTGATGAGCAAAGGAATCAAGTCCCAGCTGGTGAAACCCACAGAGGCAGCTGACCTAAACAAGAGGGAATGCATGTACCCCCGACTGATGACTGAGAGGCCAGCATGGGACTGTTCCAGATCCCCCTGAACCTGGGTGTCAGAGAGGAGGCCTCTGCAATTTATGGGACCACAGATAGTAGATCAGTATTCATCCCTGGCATACAAATGGACTTTGGGAACCCATTCCTCTCCTCATGGAGGGAGGGTCTCTCAGGCTGGACACATGGGGAAGGGTCTAGACCATGCTCAGGATGATATGACAGACTTTGAAAATCTTCCATGGAAGGCCTTATCCTCCCTGGATAAGCAAGGATGGAGTGGGGTGGTTGGGAGGACTGGAGGGGTTGGGGAGGAGGGGAAGGAGAGGGAGCTATGAGTAACATGTGTAAAAACTTAAGTAAAAAATTATTATAAAAAGAATATTAATAAAAAATACTTATTAAAAATCATGAGTAGAGTTCTAACAACCAGAATTATTAGCTGCTTTTCAGTTAGTAAACATATTCACTTTCATTAAAGATACACATTTAAAAAAATCTGTATACCACTTCAAATTCACTTCAAACAGCAGAAGCTAAATCATATTTTTCTTTAACAGATCAAAAAAGCTTTTGGTATTCCCTTCCCATCACTCCAACCTGTACGTTAACCCATATAGCAGGTCAAATTGTGAAGGAACTGTTGGCTATGGCAGAAAGTTGAAAAATCACACAAAGCTTATAAGTTCGATTGAAAAACCATGGTTTTCAGGGTACCTATTCAGACAGTTGTCCTCAACTATAATTTGACCTTCTTGTTTAGTAGTTGTCAAAGCAACATCCATTCTCCTTAATTCTGCAAAGCTTTACAAATGATTTTTACAAAGTCTAGTCCATGATCAGCAGCTTCAAGAACACCCAAGGATTTTCTACTTGAGTGAAAGAGGCCCTCATCTTCATCCTTTAGGTCATGTGAAGCTGATTCAAGAGTCTCCACTAACGTCCTATATTTCTAATTTCCACCAGGTCTGATCCATTTACAATTTCAAAAACTGTCTGTCCCAGATGAATGAAAATAAAAAAATTCATCAACCACCAAACCCAGAAACAAACAATCAATAATGTTGGTTTGTAGGTTGAAGGATTTTTAATTTTTTTAAAGATTCTAGTCTTTGTGAAAACATACAAAGAAGTTTTGTACTATTGAGAGCAAAATCCTCTACTACTAGGAGTCTTCACTGGGGTCACCCTCATAGATTCCAGGTAGTTTCCATCACACTAGGTTTGTACCACAACCCAGAAATGCCCCCAGTTCCAATAATCTCTCCCATACTCTTCTTTTATTCCTCCCAACCGCCACCTGATCCCTCCTGTACCCATTCCCAACTGCCTCCAGTAATCCTTGAAATTAATTCTATTTCCCTTCCCAGGGAGATCCTTGTGTCCTCTCTAGAGCCCTCCTTGCTTCTTATCTACTCTGGGTCTGTGGATTGTACCATGATTATCCTTTACTTTACAGCTAATATCTACTTATATGTAAGTACATACCACGTTTGTTTATCTGGGTCTGGGTTCCCTCATTCAGGATGATTTTATTTCTAGTTTCAAGCACTTGCTTGCAAATTTCATCATATCATTTTTAAAAATAGCTGAGTAATACTCCATTGCATGAACCAGTCATTTTTCATAACCAGGCAAGGCTTCCAGCGGGGAGGGGGTTACACCAACCCATCCACAAAACCTTTGACCTACAATTTGTCCTGTCTGAAAGATGTTCTGGTCTAAAGGGGGCACAGATCTTGTGAGAGTGACCAACCAATAGTTGGTCCAACTTGAGAACTATACCACAAAAGGGAGCCAACCTCTGACATTGCATGGAAACCAGTAACTATAGACTGGATAACCCCAAGACCTAGGATAGAACCAAACATGACTGGGGAAAAAAAGAAGAAGACAAAGGAAAAGAAAATTGTCCTCCTTGTTACTTAGCTCATTTGCTTCACATCTAATATCCACTTATGAGTGAGTACATACCATGTTTGTATTTCTGAGTCTGGACTATCTCACTTAGGATGTTTTTTTCTAGTTCCATCCATTTGCTTGCCAATATCATGATGTTATTGGTTTTTAGAGCTGAGTAATACTCCATTGTATAAATGTACTATATTGGATTATCCATTCTTTGGTTGAAGGGCATCTAGTTGTTTCCAGGTTCTGTCTGTTATGAATAATGCTGCAGTAAACATGACTGAGCAAGTATCCTTGTGGTATAATTGAACATCTTTTGGGTATATGTCCAAGACTGGTATTGCTGTGTCCATCCCAAATTTTCTGAGAAACTGCTATACTCATTTCCAAAATTGCTACACAAATTTGCACTCCCACTGGCAGTGGAGGAGTTCCCCTTACTGCACATCCTCTCCAGCATAAGCTGTCATCAGTGATTTTGTTCTTAATCATTCTGATAAGTATAAGATGTTATCTCAGAGTTGTTGTTTTTATTTGCATTTCCCTGATGACTAAGGATGTTGAGCAGTTTCATAAATATCTTTCAGTCATTTGAGATTCTTCTGTTGAGAATTCTCTCTTTAGGTTTGTACCCCACTTTTTAATTGGATCATTTTGTATTCTGATGTCTAGTTTCTTGAGTTCTTTATATATTTTGGAGATCAATCCTCTATTGAATGCAGAGTTGGTAAAAAATGTTTTTCCATTCTGTAGGCTGCCATTTCGTTTTATTACTGTGTCCTTTGCCTTACAAAAGCTTCCACAGCTCCAGAGAAGCTAGGTAACAAGGAAGACCCTTGTAAGGGTACATGGATCACCCTGAGAAGGGGAAATAGATAAGGTCTCCTGGGTAAACTGGGAGTGGAGATAGAGGGGATGGGATGGAGGATGAGAACATTTGGGAATGGGGTGGTTGACTTGGGGAAGGGACAGAGAGTGAGACCAATGAAAAATATCTTGATAGAGGGAGCCATTATAGGGTTAGGGAGAAACCTGGTGCTAGAGAAATTCCTAGGAATCCAAAAGGATGACCCAAGCTAAGACTCCAAGCAATAGTGGAGAGGGTAGTTGAACTGGCCTTCTCCTGTACTCAGATTGGTGACTACCCTAATTGTCATCATAGAACCTTCACCCAGTAACTGATGGAAGCAGATGCAGAGAGTTCCACAGGCAAGCCCTGACAGAGCTCTTGGAGTCCAGTTGAAGAGAAGGAGGGATTATATGAATGGGGGAGGAGTCAAGAACATGCTGGGGAAACACGTAGACACATCTGACCCAAGCTCCCGGGAGCTCACAGACTCTGGACTGACAGCTGGGGAGTTTGTATGGGACAGAACGAGACCCTCTACATGTGGGTGAAACTTGTGTGGATTGGTCTGTTTGTGGAGTCCCTTGCAGTGGGACCAAGATTTATCCCCAGTGCATGAGTTGCATTTTTGGAACCCATTCCTAATGGTGAGATGCCTTGCTCAACCTTGATGGGTCAGTGTTGGGGAAGTCCTGTGTATATGTCAATGAAGCACTGTCTGGCCAATAGGAATCTAGATAGGTGGGGCTAGGAATCCAGGAGGATTCTGGGAAGGAGAGTTTGAGATGTAACCGCCATGGGGTAGGAAGCCCGGAACTATTCTCCGGTAAGAGAAATACTTAGATGAACAATTATGGTGTAATTACTTAAGTCAGAGCTAGCCAGTAAGAAACAAGCAAGGCCAACAGCTTCATAATTAATACAGCATCTTGTGTGTTATTTGGGGACTACAATGTGGCAGAGCCCAGGCAACTGGCGGGTGATATACCAAAGCGGTTAGTAAGGAAAAGCTTCCTTTTACAGGTCAGAAAGGGTCCTGATCCTGCCTGGGTTAGTGGTGTCCCGTGGGAAGCCTTATCCTTTCTGATAAGTGGATGGGGATGGGGTACAGGGTGGGGAAAGAGTGGGTTGAGGGAAGGAAGGGAGGATGGTGGTTGGTATATAAACATGAATAAAAAGTTTTTTAAAAAGTCAATAATGTGATTCCTAATGATACTCTGTTATACTCCTAGACAGGAGTCTAGCATAATAGTAATCAGAGACTCAACTGATAGGAGCAGATGCAGAGACCAACAGCCAAATGATAAGAGGAGTTTGAGGAATCCTGTGGAAGATGTGGAGCAACGATTGTAGGAGTCAGAGGGGTCATGACACCACAAGAACACAGTCCACAGAATCAACTAACCAGTACTTATAGGGGCCCACAGAGACAGAAACAGGGATTAGAGCACCTATATGTGTCTGAGCTGTGTCCTCTACATATATATTATGGTTGTGTAGCTTGGTATTCTTGTGCAGCTCCTAACAGTGGGAGTGGGAGCTATCTTTTACTCTTACCTGCTTTGGGAGCCTTTTTCTTCCTACTGGGTTGCTTTGCCCAGTCTTGATTGAGGGAGTGTACTTAGTCTTATTGCATTTGTTATGCCATGTTTAGTTGATATTCCTGGAAGATTTGTCTTTTTCTGAAGGGAAATGGAGGAAGAGTGGATATGGTGTGTATATTGAAAGGATGCTGGAAGGAGAGGAGGGAGGGGAAACTGTGGTCAGAATGAGAGAAGAATAAATAGAAAATAAAATTTGAAGCCTAATTAGCAAGTGAAAAAAGGAAGAGCAAAATCCATCAGACATTGCTGAGAACCACAGTATTCTAGGATGTGGGCAGAGGGCAGAGAGAAGGCAACGCTTTTTTTTTACTTTGTGTTTCATTTCTGTGCAGCTGTTGGGATGTTACCAAGGATGCTATTTATGTCTATACTCTCTGTTGTCTCTCATGGGAAGGGTGCCATAGGTACCACTCATTTAAAGAAGCTGCAGTAAGGAGATTTTTATTGCTCAGGAGATGCCTTTTAAATAACAAACACTAGGTTTTCAGATTCTGATTGATGAAACTGATGATGAGTCTAAGACTCTATTATTTCTTATTTAATTCTTAGTAGTGGTGGAAGCAGAAGTGTTGAAGATGTCTCTAATAACCTGTTTTATTTCTTGGGTCCCTTTCTACTTCCAGTTCAGAAGAATGCTGCTAACAAAGTAACTCACATTTTCACATGAAGGAGAACAAGTTATGAATGTGTCTTATGAGCAAAGCAGAATCATTGCTTATAAGTCAGTAAGGTAAAAATTGAAAGGGATGATCTCACTCCAACCTGTCTTGAACTCCATGTCCTCAACCCATCTGCCTTTTGTAATCCCTTTGTTTTATGTATTTGTGAACAACTCTCCACCATGTATGCATATTCTCTTATGACAGCTCTTTTTCTGAACTTTTATTTCAAAGATGTTTGCTTAGCAAATGACCGTTTAATATGTATATAGGTCACAGGGTGTTATTTAACTTATTTTTAAAATAATAAAGATATGTCTCCCTTCTGGTGTTAAAAACCCTTTATAGTGTTGCAAGTTTCCAAACTTGGTGTTTCCTTGCTGTAACTTAGAGCATTCTTTGCACAGTACCTACCTGGACTTTCTTTGTTATTGTTAGAACATGGTGACAAGAATAACAGATGTCAGCATGAGGCTCATGCTGTCTTCTTATTGCATGAATATGGATCCTCCTTGCATAACATACTTAGAAAAATGATATATATTATCTGTAGTTAAATGAAATATTAACTGATAATACAAGCAAATACTCAAGGGAAAATAATCCCCATATTAAACTTTCAGACTTTACCAGTGATATGCTTTAACCTCTAATTCTTCTTTTGAAAATTGGTATAGTAGTAGTGTCTGCTGCTGCAGAGCTGTGAATTTAAAATAAGTGATACATGTAGTCTTTTAACGTTATGACTGAAATAGAGAAATGCACTAAAGATATAAACAATATTGTAATTATTATAATTGCCAGTAATACTTCTTTGTGCTTGCAGTGTACCTGAAAACATTCTACACAGTTGAGTTCATCAATGTAAGTTATAGTACATGTGATTTACCAATTTAAATAAGCAGATTATATTTCTATAATAAGGCTGGGTTGTTTATGCCATTGTCTTTCACAGGACTTAATAGCTGGAAGTTTCTCATCCCACCTGCCAGTTCCTGAATAACACTCAGTGGCTTAATATTAGTTATAATTACTTGGCCAGTGGCTCAGGGATATTACTGGATAGCTCTCACAATTAAATTACCCATATTTACTAATCTGTGCACTGCCATTTGGCCATAACTTACCAGAAATATTATGGCATCTTACCCCTTTGGCAGATACATGGTATCTCTCTCATTCCACTTTCTTTTTTCAATAACTGTTTCTCAATAACTGCCTAGCTATAATCTGCCTGAACAATGGTTAAAACAGCTTTATGTGTCAACCAATAAAAAATGAAACTTATTTTCAGCGTAAAGTAGGACATCCCACATCAGGACTTTGTATTAACAAATCTGGGGCCTGGAACATATATGGCTGCTGTAGTCTTTAAGTATTGCCAACTAGACTCCAGACACTTAGTTCTGAGTGATTTCTGTTTATTTCATCAGAATTATTGGAGCAGAATTCTATATCAATCTGGAGCCTGACCGACCTTACTGAGAGGTGACTTCATATTAAGGGGAACTGGGTGAATTTTACTCAGAGAGAAAAGGAAACTTCTTAGGCACAGTGGAAACACTGCTGGTTGAAGAATTCATTCAAGGTGAAATACTTTATTGTAGCATTTTCTCTTTCTTTGTGATGACTATGAAAACATAGCAGGTCAACCTCTGTTGCTAATGACTTGTGTTTATGGACTTTAATCATTCCCGTGATTATACCTTGGATTTATTTCAAAAGCTCCTCTTCATTTTCTTCCCTGCAGCTGACAGTTTGTCCTTGGACATCTGCTCTTTCCCAAGCATGTGACTGTCATCTCCAGGCTCTTCCCAGATGTTTCAAAATCATCCTCTGGGATTTAACCTAAACTTGGCTCCCCAGAGAGACTGTTCTCAGTTACCATGCCCCAAAGCCTCAGCTGCTAAGAGATGCCATGCTTACAGAACAAAGTCCTTGGCCCATGTGGGTATGCTCGCACAAGGTGGTACCTGGAGAGATGACAAAGACAATGTACAGCAAGCCTACGACCAACATAAACCTAAAGGGAAAGAAATAATTTTCACTAAAATCAAGAACAAGAAAAGGATGTCTGCTCCCTTCGTATCTATTCGATTTAGTACTTGAAATATTAGCTAGAGCAAGAAGAAAACTGAAGGAGATCAAGGGGTTACCAATAGGAAAAGAAGACCACCTTGTTAAGTTTTGGGTATGGAATCTGGAAATAAAGAGACCTTTATTTATAGGAAATCATGAATAGGTAAAAATGGGGATATTAGCCAGGTGTTGGTGGCATGCACCTTTAATCCCAGCACTTGGGAGGCAGAGGCAGGCGAATCTCTGTGAGTTGGAGGCCATCCTAGTCTACAGAGCAAGTTCCAGGACAGCCTCCAAAACAATACAGAGAAATCCTGTCTCAAAAAAAAACATAAAAGGGGATATTTTCACAGGGACTGCCTGACTTATGAAGATTACAAATTGGTAAAATGTTTTCTTTGGTGATAATTTCGAAGCATCTGCTATCAAGCTCTTTAGGGTAGACTCCTGGAAGCAGGAATATATCCATACTAGTCTAGATAAAACAGGTATTTTGACAATCTCATTGTAAGCTTAGAGATATACATGTGTCAAGGGAACTATAGGTATTTGCTCTACTTTTTAAGGTCTCATTTGAGATGAAGACTTTTGTTTAATTAAAACTGGAAAGAAATAATCAATTCTGGTTAACATATCCACATACCACGCAAGCAGCTTTTAGTCATTTATTGTCAACCCAGTTGAACTAGGTCACTTGGTGGCATATCAAACTGACTTCTCATCTTCCATGTCACCATCTTTCCCAAACTGCCTTGTGGAACACTGGTTCAGAAAACAAACTATGAAAATAAATATAAGAATCTAGTACATTAACCAACACTTTGTCCACCCCAGTCCTGGAGATTTAATACACACATTAAAATAATTTTTAAAATGGCATACATTATTGAAATTCTGAGATATTCCCTGGTAAAGGTATCTGTTTAGGAATAGAAGTGTGTTTAAGGCCCCAGGCTTAATTTCTAGTTAAGAAAGGAAGAAAGAAAAATATAACTTCTTTGAAATATTCATTTTCCATAATTGTTTGATCACAGAATCCTTTTGTATAGATCAGACTTAACAAATTTCAGTGTTATTACCTAATAGAGTACCAGGAGACTTGGAAAAAGATCATTCTAGTCAAAGCGGTAAGAGCGACAAGAACAAACTGTGGAAACATCCTTCTAATTAAAACTGTGTGATGAGAAAAAGCAAAACAACATGCCACAACCTGGAAAGTCTAATGTATTTCACTTTCAAGTTCAGAAGTTAAAATTGCACACTGTGAATTCTTTTAATTTTCTTTCATAATGCTTTTTGGATTGATTTCTATCAATTTACAGTCTTCCTATATGAAAACCATTTGCATTGGTGTGGGAGGAGGTGATTTGTTAAATGACTACAGGAGAAAGACACTGGAGGAAGATGTTTAAAAGTTACATTTACTCTGAGACGAAATCCTCTGAACAGATGGGGAACACGGCAAGGGGTGGGGGGAGGGGGAGCTGGGAAATAGAGAGGGGAGAAGAGGAAGAGAGAGTAGGTCATGGGGGAACAGGAAGGTTGACTGGGGGAGTAGGATAGGGGGAAGAGGGAATCATAGGTTAGAAGACAGATCAGTGTGACCTCTAGTGATCTAAAGGGATGACACCAACTGGCAAGCTAAGCAATAGTGGAGAGACCACCCTGAATGTCCATTCCTGATAATGAACTTGATGTCTATAACCATCCTGGAGCCTTCATCCAGTGACTGATGGAAGCAGAGGCAAATACCCACAGTTAAACACTGAACTGAACCCAAGGAACCCAGTGACAGAGAGAGAGGAGCAATGAGCAAATTGGCAAAGAATGGGCTGGCAAAACCAGCAGAGACAGCTGATCTGAACAGGGGAGTGCTCTTGGACCCCAGACCGACAGTGGGGAGGCCAGCATGGGACTGATCTGGACCCCCCCAAATGTGAGTGTCAGTGAGAAGGCCTGGGCAACCTATGGGGCCCTGAGCTGTGGATCAGTGTCTATCCCTGGTATACAAACTGTCTTCATGTGCCTATAGCACAAAGAGAGATGCTCTCTCAGCCTGGACTCTTAGGGGAGTGCCTGGACCCTACTCAGAGTGAAATGACAGACTCTAGATATCCCCTATGTGGAAGGAATTGGTAATAGGGTGGGAGGACGGCGGGAGGGGGAGTGGGGGGGTTCGGGAGGAGGGGAGGGAGAGGGAACTGGGATTGACATGTAAAACAAGCTATTTAAAATTTAGAAAAAAGTTACATTTACTCAATTCTCGAGTGAGTTGTTGAGCTAGGTACCATTTATGTCATTAATGACACTGTCGTTTAAGAGCCTAGCAGGTCTCCTACCTACATGTGTTTCTTTGTCTTGTAAAATTTCCCTTGCTAAATACATTGAACACATATAGATGCATATACCTAAACTATGTGAACTGTCTGAGGAAGAAAACACACATCACCTTACTTCTCCGAGTCATGTACACGTCAACCGATGTGGACTGGTCCTCTGCCCTTTCTCATCTTGCACACCAGCAGAGGTCATGGTGGTCTAAAAGCTGTCTCTTCATTATATTTTACTCCCAGTTTCTGGTATATGTCCAGGGGAAGTTTGAAGTTTCAAGAATAAGCACAAATATGCAGCTGCTATATATTAACTGGGACTTAAAATTTTCATCATCAAAAAGCTGATGAAGTTTGCAAGCATTTTATAAAAGCTTAGTGAAAAATTTACTGCTAAATTGCATTGAAAATTAAACTTGATTAGAGCAGCTAATTACTGAGAAGTAATATAAAAGAATGCAGTAGTTAAAATAAAAAATGTTAAGGAGGTTTAAAGATAGTATGTATGTATGCATGTATGTATGTACTAACATGTGAATATATTTGCCAGAGGTAGACTTTATTTTTCATATTTTTAATATTTTGCATTGCTGGGATTGAACCCAGAGCCTTGTGCATGCTGAGCAAGTGATGGGCCACTGAGCTATTTTCCTAGCTTGCAAAATGGAATTTATAATGAAAAGGTGAAAAGCTGAATGTATTTTTATTTTTATACAAGAGTGCCAAAGCTGTGTGAAATCGTTTGAAAATGAAAGAGCTCAACTATGTAGCAATTATAAAGATTTTTTGTACTGTTCTTGCTTATTAAGGCAGCTAAATGGAGCACAAATAATGAAATAAAGCATTAGCAATTAATATTCTAATGGAAATGTGATGTGTTGTAAGGATCAAGAAAGCATTAAACCTCCTTTAATAAGAAAGCATGTTTCTTAGAAATGACATTTGGAAAGCATTTCTCTTTGAAAATAATTTAAAGTAGTGGTCCAGCATTTAAGTCACTCAGAAATGATATAAGCAGTTAAAAATCCTTTTCCTAATGAAAATTTGATTGCATTTATTTATTTATTTATTTATTTATTTATTTATTTATGTGCTTGTTTATTTATTTATTTTAGGCAGAGTCTCACTCTGTAGCTCTGAGTGGCCTGAAACTTGCTTTGAGGACAAAGCTGAACTCAGATTCACAAACATCTACCTGTTTCTGCCTCTGGAGTGCTGGGATCAAATTTGTGCTACCATGCCCGGCTTAAAATTTGATTCTTATCAAAAGAACCTGTGATTCTCGTGGGAAAAATTCTGTATATTTTTCTAGAAATGTATGTTTATATCATGTTTATTTCCCTTTGTTCTTGCTGTTTGGAGCAAAATAAGATTTTAAGCGTTCACATATATGGCATACAATTCAAAGTTTCTTCGTGCATTGGGTAAATGCCTAGTTCATGCTACTGGTAAGACAGAGTTTCTCAATCATTTGCAGACTTATACAGTTCGTATGCTCATATAAGCACATGTTTAGAAGGCATAGACTTGCATGTGAAATAGTTACACAAAGCAGTTATTGAGGAATTAACCTACATCATATCTTATATAAGTTGATATTAATTAACTAATTTCACATGAATATATTTACTCAATGTTAGGTCTACTGAAGTCAAGGACCGTTTCACTCAATGCATTAGGATTTCACATTTAGTTTAAAATGACAATAAAATATTTTTATTTTTAAATTTAAAATAGAAACAAAGTTGCTTCACATGTCAATCCCAGGTCCTTCTCCCTTTCCCTCCACTCCTCCCATGTCCTCCAACCAACCTCCCCCAATAACCCCTCATTTCCCCAGGGAGGGTGAGGCCCTCCATGGGGGTGTCCATAGTCTGTCATTTCATCCAGGGCAGGGCCTAGGTCTGCCCCCAAGAGTCCTGGCTGAGAGAGCATCCCATATTGTGGCATGGGAACTCAAAGTTGATTTGTACGCCAGGATAAATACTACCCCAGGGCCCATAGATTACCTAGGCCTCCTCACTGACACCCCATTCAGGGGGCCTGAGTCAGTCCCATGCTTGCCACACAGCCACCAATCTTGGGTCCAAGAACTCCCCCTTGTTCAGGTCAACTATTTCTGTGGATTAAACCAGCCCAGTCTTAACTCCTTTGCCCATCAGTTCTCCCTTTTTGACACTGGATTCCAGGAGTTCAGTTCAGTGTTTGTCTGTGGGTATCTACTTGTACTTTCATCAGTCACTGGATGAAGTTTCTGTTTCCCTGCCTCTCTGGCCGTGGGATTGTAGGCTGGCACTCCCCTGATTCATGTCTAAAATCCATAAATGAGTGAGTAAATACCATGCTTCTCTTTTTGTGACTGGGTTACCTCACTCAGGATGGTTTCTTCTAGTGCCATTCATTCGCCTGCAAATTTCAAGATTCCATTGTTTTTTTCTGTTGAATACAACCCACAGATTGGGAAGAGATATTCACTAACCCCGCATCTGACAGAGGTCTGATCTACAAAATTTACAAAGTACTCAAGAAGCAAGTCTCCAAAACACCAAAGAATCCAATCAAAAAGTGGGGTACAGAACTAAATAGAGAATTCTCAGTAGAGGACTCTAAAATGACTGAGAGACACTTAAGAAAGTGCTCAATATCCCTAACCATCCAGGAAATGCAAATCAAAACAACTCTGAGATACCATCTCACTACTGTCAGAATGGCTAAAATAAAAAACTCCAATGACAGTTTATGCTGGAGAGGATGTAGAGAAAGGGGAACATTCCTCCACTGCTGGAGGGAGTGCTGACTTGTACAGCCACTTTGGAAATTAGTAT